CAGTGGTTGTTGTTGTTGTTTGCGATCCGGCCTCTGGTTCATGACAGATGGATGGATAGATAGATGGTTATATGGATGGATGAATGGATGAATGGATGGATGATAATGAATGGACAGCTGAATGGATGGATGATGGATGGAAGTATGGCTGGATGAATGGATGAATGGACAGATGGATGATGAGTGACTGAATGGATTGATGGATGATATAGGGACGGATGGATGGATGGATGATAGATGGCAGGACGGACGGACGGACGGATGGATAGATGGACGGATGGATGATGATGGATGGATGGATAGATACACTGATAGAAGGATGGATGGATGGACGGATGGATGGATAAGTTTATTGTCTGTTACATAGTAAACACCAGGAACCTTTCTTCTCTTCCACCTGATGGAAGAGAAGAAATCAAATCATCATCATCTATAAGAGAGACTTGATTTTAATAAAGAGTGATGATAACAATGGACAACAAAGACAACAATAGGCAATCATAAAAATCATACAAATTGAGAAGAACAAAGAATGGAAAATGGTATTTAAAAAACGAAATAAAAAACAGCTACAGTAGATTGTAAAGCGATGTAGAAAACTAAAAACAAGAACATGTCTGCATTGGTTTTTGCCAGGAACTTAGCAGATGTTTGAAGCCAGAGGTCAAGGTTGAGAGCTTCAGATCTTTTTGCAAGATATTCCAGGAAACAGGAGCGGAGTAGGAGAAGGCAAATGCAGGATGTGAGGTTAGAGTTCCTGATTCTGGACTCAGGGGTCGTTTACACGGCGCATATTTTGAGTGCATCCACAGCTTTCTCTCTGCGGTTCTGTTGATCATCTACATGACACCAGTGGCCCCCCTCTTTGAATCCGGAGGTTTCTCAACCCGCCTTCCAGAGTGGAGGTTTTTCGCTGACCCCCTGCTGATAATGTAAACATCTCCCGCTGAGGCTTTGTGTTAAACCACACGCACGCGCGGACAGACGCTATATTTCTATCAACATGGCGGCGGACACACTGCTTTCAGAACCTCGACTGATGGAATATATTTTAATCTCATAGTTAATCTACGTCAGATTCCAGGTGCTGTGACCGACATCTGTGTGAGAGTAGCACTTGCTGCAGCTTCCAAGATGGCCGCCAATCACCCCCAGCTGACGGCCATCTCCCTGATGAGCTCCTGCTCCTATTTAAGCCTGCAGTCAAGTCTACTCGACGCTGGAGCATTGAGTTCCCCCGGTACTTAATGTTTCTAGCCATTTAGTGTTTCATGGAATACAAGTCTTACCTTGTGATCTTGTTTCTGCAGTTCTTTGTCGCCTCCTGAGTCCAGTCCTGTTTCCACGGGTTCCAGCTCTCAGATCTCTCGTGCCTTGCCCAAGCTCTGATCTCTCGTGCCTATCCACTCAGTCTCTGGGAGTATTCGTCCTGTTCTGGAGTTGCTGCACAGTGCCTCCATCTCACCACCTCCTCTGGAAACTCTGGGCTTCTCTTGGATCCACTCCTACAAGAACCACCAACTGTAAGATAAGAAAGCTACTTACAAGTTTAAACCAAACAACTTACCTGCCCCAGCTGAACTTGTCCTCCGTTTCCAGGAGTTCCAGTCCTGATGCCTGTGCAGCCAGATTATCACTGTAAATAAATAAACACTGTTATTTTTTACTCTGAGTCTCGTGTCGTTCTGGGTCTCGTTCGATTGGGTCACTCCTGAGATCTCACAATCTGTGTTGGAAGAGACACAATCTGATCCAGTTCTACTGTCGCTGTTTATAGAACGTGGCACGCGCACACGTCGCGCTGCACTATAACATCTAAATGTGCTAAATAATAACAGTTTAATAATAATAAACAGTATTTATGTTAGTGTGAAATATAATGAAGCCCTGAGCTAAATGAAGCTATCTGGACATTATGTAATTCAAATTTAAAATGATGCTAAACATATAGCATGAACACTAAAGTTGAAAATGAAGACACCAGGTTTAATTTTTATTTATTTATTCGACACCACAAACTGTATGTCACACAAACACTGATAATTAAACTAAACACACTATTAAAACATGTTAACTGAACTTGAATGGATTGAATAAAACAACTGAGGGGAATTTTAAGCAAATAGTTCATCAACATCTCTCTTCGACGTCCTCCTGCAGTTCATCTGGGCCGAGCCTCGTTCAGAACCGGTCCGCCTGGTGGGAGGACAGCTTCTTCTTCTTTCAGGAAAAAATAAAATCTCGGTTGTTTTGTAACCGAAGTAAACACAAACTAACATTATTAAGAACATTTGATTTACCTGCAGTAATCATCTACTGATTATCACAGAATAAAGTCCGACATTGTCGACTCGGTTCTGGTCCACTCAGCGACCGGTGTGGAGCTGTTAGATGATGCTGTCCTGCTTGGCATCAAATCTGTCAACTCTTATCCAAAATCCAGCCAGAATCCAGCTTTAACTTGTTGTTACGTTGTTGTTAGCTAAGCTTTTTAGCTCACAGGAAAGAAGCGTGCTGAGGCAGCATGCATGCGCATTAGGTGAAGGTACAAAATTCACAGCGCCATCTAATGACCTGGCATGGTAACTACAGCAGATTCGGGAGGGCGGGGGGGAATCCTCCGGATGCATGTAAATACAAAATCAGACCATGTCAACACAAATCTTTTCCTCTAATTAACATACGAATAAACCTATGTTTCCCCCCATCGTGTTTGAGTAAATAGGGCCTCAAGCTGTAATCTTATATCCCTCAGTCTGTTTCCTACATGAGCCAAATGTTAATGTGGACGTGTCAGGCTGAAAACAATGAAAACTAAAGTGCAGAGCCAGGTATGCTCGTATTCCTCAAACTAAATATGACCTCTGATAATCAATTTGGTTTTAAACGTAAACATGGAACAGACTTGTGCAATGTTGCTTTAAAATAACTTTTAGATCTACACAACAGTCACAACACCTCCATTTATATGTGTTTTATTGATGCCTCAAAGGCCTTTGATTATGTAAACCATGAAAAGTTGTTTCACAAGTTGTGTAACAGAGGTGTCCCCAAATGTTTGGTGAGGATTCTTGTTTTTTGGTATGCTAATCAGCACATGTATGTAAAATGAAGCCAAGATTCATCTTGTCTGCTGGATTCCTTAGATAGAGAACTTTACTAATTGGCTTTTATAAATATATACAGGTCTGTACACTCACAACCTGTATATATTTATACCTATAGCATATTCAAAGCAACTTACTGTATATTGTACTATCTATATCTACCAATTTATTTTTCTTGCTAAGCACTTCTGGATGGATGCAAACTGCATTTCGTTGCTTTGTACCTGTGACATGTGCAATGACAATAAAGTTGAATTCTATTCTATTCTATTATGTACAGGTCCTTCTAAAAAAATTAGCATATTGTGATAAAGGTCATTATTTTCCATAATCTAATGATAAAAATGAAACTTTCATATATTTCAGATTCATTGCACACCAACTGAAATATTTCAGGTCTTTAATTGTTTTAATACTGATGATTATGGCATACAGCTCATGAAAACCCAAAATGCCTGTCCCAAAAAATTAGCATATTTCATCCCACCAATGAAAGACAAGTGTTTTTAATACAAAAAACACAAACCTTCAAATAATCATGTTCAGTTATGCGCTCAATACTTGGTCGGGAATCCTTTTGCATGAATGACTGCTTCAATGCGGCGTGGCATGGAGGCAATCAGCCTGTGACACTGCTGAGGTGTTATGGAGGCCCAGGATGCTTCGATAGCGGCCTTAAGCTCATCTAGAGTGTTGGGTCTTGTGTCTCTCAACTTTCTCTTCACAATATCCCACAGGTTCTCTATGGGGTTCAGGTCAGGAGAGTTGGCAGGCCAATTGAGCACAGTAATACCATGGTCAGTAAACCATTTACCAGTGGTTTTGGCACTGTGAGCAGGTGCCAGGTCATGCTGAAAAATGAAATCTTCATCTCCATAAAGCTTTTCAGCAGATGGAAGCATGAAGTGCTCCAAAATCTCCTGATAGCTAGCTGCATTGACCCTGCGCTTGATAAAACACAGTGGACCAACACCAGCAGATGACATGACACCCCAGTGACTGTGGAAACTTGACACTGGACCTCAAGCAATGTGAATTATGTGTCTCCTCTCTTCCTCCAGACTCTGGGACCTTGATTTCCAAAGCAAATGCAAAATTTACTGTAATCAGAGAACATAACTTTGGACCACTCAGCAGCAGTCCCAGGCGAGATGCTTCTGACGCAGTCTCTTGTTCAAGAGTGGCTTGACCTGGGGAATGCGGCACCTGTAGCCCATTTCCTGCACACGCCTGTGCACGGTGGCTCTGGATGTTTCTACTCCAGACTCAGTCCACTGCTTCCGCAGGCCCCCCAAGGTCTGGAATCGGCCCTTCTCCACAATCCTCCTCAGGGTCCGGTCACCTCTTCTCGTTGTGCAGCATTTTCTGCCACACTTTTCCCTTCCCACAGACTTCCCACTGAGGCGCCTTGATACAGCACTCTGGGAACAGCCTATTCGTTCAGCAATTTCTTTCTGTGTCTTACCCTCTTTGCTTGAGGGTGTCAATGATGGCCTTCTGGACAGCAGTCAGGTCGGCAGTCTTACCCATGATTGTGGTTTTGAGTAATGAACAAGGCTGGGAGTTTTTAAAAGCCTCAGGAATCTTTTGCAGGTGTTTAGAGTTACGTCGTTGATTCAGATGGTTAGGTTAATAGCTTGTTTAGAGAACCTTTTCATGATATGCTAATTTTTTGGGACAGGCATTTTGGGTTTTCATGAGCTGTATGCCATAATCATCAGTATTAAAACAATTAAAGACCTGAAATATTTCAGTTGGTGTGCAATGAATCTGAAATATATGAAAGTTTCATTTTTATCATTACATTATGGAAAATAATGACCTTTATCACAATATGCTAATTTTTTGAGAAGGACCTGTATGTGAATGTTCCTGTAAAGTGCCCTGAGACAACTTTGTTGTGATTTGGCGCTATATAAATAAACTGAATTGAATTGAATTCGGTGTTTCAAATGGTGTGAGACACGATAGCATCCTGCCTCCCTTTTTATTTAATGTGTACATGGATGATCTGTCAAAGCTTTTAAATGACTGTGGAACAGGCTGTAGAGTTGGTAACAGGATCATCAACCATTTAATGTATGCTGATGATTTAGTTTTTTTTTTTTTTGTCCTTATACTGCTGGCCTGCAAGAGCTGCAGGTGTGCTCTGGTTATGGAAGAGACTTTGATATAAAATATAATTCTAAGAAAAGTAGCATCATGATTGTGCATAGCAGAGAGGACTCCGAGTTGATGTTCCCTGATTTCTTTCTGTCGGGCAGCAGGCTGAATATCAGTGATGAACGTAAATACTTGGGGCACTATGTGACTGCAGACCTGTCAGATGATAGAGACATTTAC